AGACTGAAAGTGAAAAGATAGAAATCAATTCTCCATGTGACAGGAGCCCAGAAAAAAACAGGGGTAGCAATCTTATTTGCAGACAAAGTAAATTTCAAACCAAAACTGAATCTAGTATTATTGATGTAGGACAGTACTGTATCATACCTCTATGAATGCAAAATATCTAGTACCTGCTTTATGATACATAGTAGGGACCATCCTTTATCAGAGCTACATTTAATGATATTACTCTAGAATGTTCTCTTTCCAGATGATGATTAAGAGGCTAATAGAAAAAATGGTGCCAGGTACCACAAAGCAACAGAACTTTGCTGTTGTCTGGATATTATTCTTTTCTTTGGATTTTTTTTTTAATGGAATGTGCTGAATGTCTATAATTTTGTTCAGATGACTGCAGAACCTGGAAAAGGTGTTGCTGCTATCGATGCATAACATACTATTATTACTGCTATACACACACACACACACACACACACACATATATAGATATATATAGATATATATATACACACATGTATATATAAATTGAATTTTGGGAAACTTTAGCTGTGCTGCCAACTTTGGAAAAAGTCATCCCAATTTACTGTGTTGACTTGGCATTGTACAGAAATGGACAACCATATTGGTCTAGATGCTAATTTATAATTGAATTTTGGGAAACTTTAGCTGTGCTGCCAACTTTGGAAAAAGTCATCCCAATTTACTGTGTTGACTTGGCATTGTACAGAAATGGACAACCATATTGGTCTAGAAATGCTAATTTATTTATTTTCTTTTTCTATGTGTACAGGGGTAACACATCACACTAAATATGTAAGGTTATATCTATGCGGGTTTGATTACAGAAACTAATAAAGTATTCTCTAAATGAAAAAAGAATAAGATAAGACTATAAGAGCAAGAAGCAATTTAAATATGTTCAGGGACCATTTTCATCTCCAGAATTAAGGATCATTTTAATGTTACATCATTGCCTTTTCTCTTTTACTTTCCTTTTTAGTTTTATTTTAGGATTCCCTATTTTTAATGTTCATATAGAGATTTCTTTAACTGAATACTGAATAGTTTCTTTGGTGTGAAAAACTATAATAGTACACAGGATCCTAATGAGATAATTAATAATGTGAAATAGGAAGTAAAGGGCTAAAGGTGTAGGGAAAGTGGGAAGGGTGGGGGAAAGGTAATAAGGGAGAGGAAAAAAATATGAGAAACTGAAAAAATGGAAATAAAGTGTTTGTAAATCGGGAGGGGAGGAAGGGGTGAAGGGAGGGCAGGGACAAGGGGAAAAATGAGAATCAAGACCTATTATGTAAAGGTACAGAATCCCAATGATGAATGTAATTGTATTGTATACCTAGATTGTACCAATAAACTCAACAAAAAGGAAAAAAATAACGAATATGAACAGCAAAAGAATTTAGTAGGATAACTAGATAGATACAAAACAAATATACAAAAATAAAATATAAGGATATATATATGCAAATGTAATCAATTTAAATTTAAAGAACATAATCCTTTTTCTAATAACCAAAAAGAGAAAAAATAATTATGAGCCAGCTGATCAAATATTCAGTACCTACATAAACATATCTTTAAAATACTTCCCTTGGGCCAGGGATTTAGCTCGGTGGCACCACACCTGCTTGGCAAGCTTGAGGTCCTGACCTCAATTGATGCCAAAACAAAAAATACTTCCCTTTGGCCACTACACATTCGATGTACAAACTTCAGGATGAACTGAGGAGCAACTCTCAAGACATCAGCCAAAAGAAAAGCCACCAAGTGATAACCTGGGTGCTTCCTCCTAAGATCCCTATGAACTGGAGTTCTGGCCTTTGAGACCTCCCAGCCCTGGTGGGGATCTCTGGCCTACCTTGAAACCTTGGGGTACTGTCCTGGGCTGTAACCCAGGACCCAAGGGACCATGAAGACACCCATAGTCACCTGCTTCTGCAGCCCACTTTATTCTCCTTAGATCACACAGGCACGGGAGCAGGGAAGACCCTAGAGCCTGTGTAAGGCCATGCAGCTTCTCCTTGATTCCCCCACCTTGTAAATGAGAGTCCGAGGCCCAGAAAGTAAAAACATTTGCACAAGGGAACACAGTCAGAACTAAGACTAGAGCCAAAACTCCAACTCTTTTCCACTCTGTCTTTTTGTCTCCTTTTCTTCTATTTCTGGGCACTTGAGGACTTGGATTTGATAATGAACACTAGTCAGCTCAGAAGGTACCTTTCTCTTTGGTCAGTAGCCTCCTTCCCTCAATCAGGCCTAAGCTTGAACATTCTGTTTTATCTCCATCTGGGGCAAAGGCATGTCGAAGTTTACCAAGTCCAGAGGGTGTGCTAGAGGAGCCCAACCAGAATTTCCAGCTTGCACAACCTGAGCAGACCAGAGGACACAGTAAGATCAGGACACACCCCATGAGTCAGCACTGCCCATCTGTCACCCTGAAACTGAGATCTGAGACGTCCACGCTACCTGCCTTCTGCTGCACACCTCACCGCTTCGGCTGGGCTGAGGAATCCCACATGCAGAGACAAGTCATCACTTGTGCCTTTGCCTCGCATAAAACTTGTTGAAGAGCCTGTGACTGTGGAGCTGTGGGATCCATGCCCACTAGAAGGATTTCACACCCCCACCCTACCCTATAAAAAGGAAATCACATGCAGAGAGAAAAGAGCAAAGTCCTGTTACAGGAGGCGGGGAAACTATCTTCTGCAGAGGCTGAGCTTAGAGTCCCGCAGTAGCACAACCTGGAACTGGTACCATGGATGCCCTGGTACGACTCCTGCAGCTGCTTGTGCTGCTCCTAACGCTGCCCCTGCACCTGCTGGCTCTGCTGGGCTTATGGCAGCCCCTATGCAAAAAGTACTTCCCCTACCTAATGGCTGAGCTGGCTGTCAGGACCAACCGCTTGATGGAAAGCAAGAAACGGGAACTCTTCAGCCAGATAAAGGGGTTGAAGGGAACCTCTGGGGTGGTGACCCTGCTAGAGCTAGGCTGTGGCACTGGTGCCAACTTCCAGTTCTACCCACCTGGCTGCAAGATCACCTGCCTGGACCCAAACCCTAACTTTGAGAAGTTCCTGGCAAAGAGCATGGCTGAGAACAGGCATCTTCAATACGAGCAGTTCATGGTGGCTCCCGGAGAGCACATGAAACAAGTGGCAGATGGCTCCATGGACGTGGTAGTCTGCACTCTGGTGCTGTGCTCTGTGCAGAGCACAAAGAAAGTCCTGCAGGAAGTCTACAGAGTGCTGAGGCCGGTAAGCGGAGTGGGAAGGGAAGGGGCCGCCCCAGAGGTTGGAGCCCCAGCATGGGGAATCTGACTTTACACATTAGGCACCGCCATCTCCACCTGCTTTTGGAGGGGAGATATCACCTCCATGAGACAAATAGGGTGCTGTGAAGCCAAGGAAGAATCACCTAACACGGGGTGAGGACAGCCAGGAAAGATACCTAAGGAACCGATGTTTTCATTGAGATCAGTGTACGGAGGCAGATGGGGAAATAAAGAGTGTTCTATTAGAGATGATAGGGGAAGTGAAGTCCAGAAGATTTTGAGCTGCAGGGTGGAGAAAAAGGAGTTCAGAACAGTTTCCACCTTTCTGGCATGAGCAGCTGAGGAGAGAGTGGGTACAAGTTCCATTTGCTGGCATGGAAGGGTTCTTAGGGCTCAGGAGCTGCAGAGACAGCCAGTCAGAGAAACCACACAGTCTGAGAGAAGTCCAGACCTAGAAAGCAGAAAAGATACAGCCTAGAGGTTGAAATTTGGACAGCATCAGCCTGTACCTGGGAATTCAGTGTGAGGTAAGTGACTCCCCTAGGGAGAGCACAGTGGGGTCACGAGAGGGTGGAGAACCCACACTTTGGTGGGGTTGGTTCTGGTCCCGGGTTTTCCCAGGATGTCCAAGATGTCTGGGAAGAGGGTGTGGGTGCACCGGAGTGTCAGGGGCGGCCTGCATGCGTCCTTGTATACCATGAGCTTCCTGCTCCTGTTTCTCAGTTTACCCCAACTGCAGTCCTCCCAGGCATCCTTTAAAGATCTCTGCCATCATCCCCACTCAGTTACAAGAGGTTCTTTATGTGCACTTTGAGGGAGGGTAGGGGAGCCAAAGGTGCAGGAGACATCAGGAGCAGGACAGCCTGCTCCATGAACTCAGACCAGCAGCCCCTACTTCACCAAGAGGTCTGACCAGGCTTGGTCAGTGGGCAGGAGGTTGTAAGAAAGGGATGGGGCTGGGCATGGTGGTGCACGCCTGTAATCCCAGTACCCATGAAGCTGAGGCAGGAGGATTGCCTCAAATTCAAGGCTAGTCCAGATTGCGTAGAGAGACCCTGCCTCAAAAAAAGCCCCCAAAAGGGGGTGGGGGAATGGGATAGAGCAGATAAGTGATGTTAACTTCTCCCTCCCAGGGAGGAGTGTTGTTCTTCTTGGAGCACGTGGCCGAACCCGAAGGAAGCAAGGCCTTTATGTGGCAGCAAGTTTTTGAGCCCACCTGGAAACATATCGGGGATGGCTGCTACCTCACCAGACAGACCTGGAAGGATCTTAAGAAGGCCCATTTCTCTGAAGTCCAAATGGAATGGCTACCCCCTCCCCTCAAATGGCTACCTGTTGGCCCCCACATCATGGGAAAGGCTGTGAAATAATCTTCATGGCCCCGAGGCAGTCACTGACTTCCTCCCCGGCCTCTAATCAGAACAAGTCACCCACCACCTGGTCTGTCTCCTCCTGAGAGGGATCAAGCAAAGAATAGGAGATGCTCCGCAGCCTGTGCTCCTCTAGATCTTCTGCACCTACCTCTGCAGGGCCGGGGTGGATCTCTAGCTCCCATCCCTCCTTCCACAGTACAAAAGCTGTGTTACTACCCTCACCAGAAAAAGATACAAACATTATACCGTCCTGGCTCCAGCTGCAAATTCCTGAACTTTGCCCACCTCCTGCCACAGTGGCTGTCCCTGGTCCCTTGTCCCGGTGGCAAATTCCCCACCCCCTTCTGAGCATACACCCATGCGCTGCTTAGAACTGGCCACAAAAGCTTCCCTCCCACTCCTCCCTTTGTCCCGGGCTGTGAGGGTGCCAGAGAGAAGCAGGGTCCCTGGGGGTAAGGGAGCAGCACTCAATAAGGAAGCCAGAGATTTTTGTCCTCAAATATTTTTTAATAAATAGACAAGACCCACTAGACTGATGCAGCAAACTAAGGTCAGAAGAGTGGGGAGGAAGGAGCCCCTGAGTGACACAATCTCCTCCCTGGCCCTCTGGGTAAGGCACTTTGGGGGAGACAGGTTACATGGGGTGAACGGGAGGGGAGGGAACAGGCTCCCTTCTCCACCCTGCACCAGGACATCCCTGCCCATCTCACCTGCCCCACCCCATCCCTGATTTACCCTATCTTGGCTCACAGCATTCTAAGGGGAAGTCTGGGGGGCAGTTCTCGTGGATGGGAGAGGGCAGTGCCCCTGAGGAAGCAGATCCTGCCAAGTCTCGATGCGATGCGAGGAACTCACTCCACACTCTCCACCCTGAGGCGCCATCTCAGGAAGAGGTGGAGAGACCCACAGGCCAGGCTGGGAGAAAGAAAGTTAGGCAGTGCCTGGCCCAGGATGCCCATCAGAGCCCAGCTCAGGGTGCCCATCAGCAGCCAGGATGGGGTGCGCTTCGGGGGCCTCCCGCCGGGGACCACCCCAGTTGCTCCTCAGGATGGTGCCCGTTTTCTCCTCTTTAAACTGCTGTCGGTCTTCCCGAGGGATCTTCACCGCGTGGTACTGGGGCACGTTGGCCTCGGGGTGCTTCGCCCGCTTGAAGAATCCCATCTGTAAAACACCAAGTCAGACTATGAGGCCCTGCAGGGTGAGATCCCTAGAGCAGACAGCCTGCACAGCCCTGTACGCTTCCTTCGCCATCCCTGAGACCAAAAGAACCAACTGAGGCAGAAAGAGAGAGGCTGGCCAGCATCCATTGTGATGGGCAGTGCCCAGGGTTCCAGTCAGTGCCAGGGACCCAGGAAATCTCCCTTGGTCCCTGAAAGAGAGGCTTGAATGTGAGACTCCCAGGCTTTCTACCCACCCAGGCTTCTTAAGAGATCCTACAACCGAGAACACAAAAGCCAGAACATAAGCAAGAGCTGAGGAAGGAAGTGGCTTCCGGGACCCCAACATACCTGGAGCAATGTCCCCAAGCCTCACATACTTTCGCCCCGTATGCTCAGACACTGGGCAGCAGCTGCTGGGGCAGGGCCCTTTGAGCCATGAAAATGCCAGTCTAGCTCCTCCTGTCCTGACGGTGCCCGCCCTCCTCGGCGCGGTAGTAAGTGCCCTTGCATATTCACCCCGGAAATGCCCAGCACTCCTACGTGCTCAGACTGCACAGCTCTTCCTGCCCATTCACTTCTCACACTCATACCCAAAGAGAGCACATGCGCGGACCCTCCCCACACCCACATGCTCACAGCCCACGAGCCACCCCACTCTGCACATACCTCCAGCGGCATGCACTTACCGTCCTGACCTCACCCTTCTAATCACCTCTCCCCTCGATTCTGGACCTCACTTCACCCTCATGCAGACCCATTCCTTCACCCTGCACATCCCTGATCCCCCGGATGCTAGAAGCTGGACTGAGTCTCACGTGCACACATACCCACGCCCCCCACACACACACGCTTGCACAGACACATGCACACACACTACAGTTACCCCACAGTCCCCGGGCCCCCAGCTTCCATGGCCGAGGGTTGCACAGCCAGATGCGCTCGGTGATAGTTGGTAGGGAAAGATGAGCTCTGACTGCTCCGATGGAAGAAGCCACACTGGGATATCGAGGGAGGAGGTGAGCAAGAGAGGCATAGGAAGGGAAGACCAAGGCAAGGCAGGAGGGGCTCTATCTGCAGGAGGCAAGCGTCTGAGGCCAGCTTCAGGAAGGCCTCAATCTTCCTAAGACTAAGCAGGTTCCCAGCAGCTCGGCTGCCACTCGGGAGCTGGTCCTCTGATGACACACACTTATCAAAGGTGTCACCGTAATTGTCCCACAGTGGGGAGGGCATTCTCTGCAGAGGCCCGAGATGTGCATGGCTCTCCACGTAACTCCAGATGTGACATTTGGCTCGGGGAACATGAACCCTGGCTATGTGTATGAGTCCCTGTACTGGCATATGCACATGTGTCCATTTATGTGTGTTTTTT